GGTGACCAGTTGCAAAGATGCACGGATGCCGGGATGTCCTAGTCAGTGCAGTTCCTCAAAGTCTGTGCGACTGAAGGCGGCGGGCAAGAGGGGTGTAGGACAACCTGTGGCAGTGACACAGCGAATGGTTCCTTCCGTGGTTTGGAGAGGAACAGGTCGTACATGCAGCGAAGCGCACTGCAGAGTAGGTCGTAGGTCTGCGTCTTGAACCTGAGCTGGTGCAATGGTGGCAAGATCGACGGTAGGCAAGGACGGGAGAGTGAGATCGATACTTGAGAGAGCTTCGGCGACGCGATTGTCGACACCTGGGACATGACGTATGGCGGCAGTGAACTGCGTGACAAAGTCTAGGTGTCCTGTTTCCCGTGGTGAATACTTGTCACAGGCAGTATTGAAGACGAAGATGATGGCTTTGTAGTCTGTGCAGGCCGTGAAAGCGCGGCCTTCGAGTGTTTACCGGAACTGACGAATGGCCAGGTAAATGGCAAGCAGTGCTCTGCCAAACGTGCTGTTGCGGGATTCCTCTGACTGAAGACGCTTGAAGATGAACACGAGGGTTGCCACTTCCTAACACCGTATCGCTGAAGGACGGCTAATATTGCGACGCCTGTGACATCAGCCGTAATAGATAGACGCTCAGTCGATTCGGAATCAGCGAGGAGAGCTATGTTAGAGTTAGCATCGTTGGTCTCGAGGAAGGCTGTCTGTGCCGTGTCACGAGAAGCAAACTTACGTTCCTTCGCTCTAGATGAGTCAGAGGCTGCATGAGCTGAGCGCAGCGCGGAATGAAGCTACGATAGTAGTTGATCAAATCCCAAAGTCAACAAACATGCTTGAAGCAAGTCGGGGCCGGGAAGTCCTTGATTGCCTGGTTCTTATCAAGAAGCACTTCGGTGCCAGCCAATGAAACAAGGTTGCTTGGGAACTCGGCCGTTTCTTTGGAGAGTTCGCACTTACTCTGGTTGATTGCGACACCGCGTTGAGTCAAGCGCTGGATAGTGTTCTAAGATGGTCGAGGTGCTCTTGCTCCGGTGAACTGGCTACTAACATGCAATCAACGTAGGAATAAGCGAGATCTAGGCCACGAGTGACATGGTGGATGAAGCGTTGGAAGGTTTGCGTGGCGTTACACAGTCCAAATGGCATGCTTACAAATTCAACCAAGCCGAAAGTGATGATAACGGCCGTCTCAGGAATGTCAGTTGCTTCTACAGGTATCTGGTTATAGGAGCGAACCAGCTCGGTCTTGCTGAAAATGGTCTAATATTTGAGGCATAAGATAAGGCCCTGCGAGTGTGGGATGGGATACCTCTCTGGGATGGTTAGCCGATTGAGTGCGCTGTAATCACCGCAAGGGCACCAGTCGCCAGATTTCTTGCGGACCAACTGCAGGGGCGAGGACTAAGGGCTGTCAGAAAGGTGAATTATTCCAAGTTCACGCATGTGCTCAAACTCCGCCCTGGCCACCTTTAGTTTCTCGTGCGTTAGTCAGCCTGGACAGCTTGTGATGCGTGGGCCGTTCGTCCATATGTGGTGCATGACTTTGTATGCCATGGGTAAAGCTGCGTTCATTGGCTGAACGAGCTTCGATTACTGAGAAAAGAGGTTGGCGTCGTCTGGCGAGGTCTGAAGAGTTGCGTAGACAGGTGTTATTGTTGCGATATCGGCGGTGATGACACTTACACTCCGTTTCGTTACAGTGTCGAGTATCATAGGTCGTTTCGCATCGACAAAGAGGTTGAATTGCAGGAGTAATAAAAGCCGATGATGGCAAAGGGAAGTGCAGCGACGGTGAATACCCAGCGGAATGTGCAACGAAGATCTAGGTCCAGAGTAAGCGACCGATGACCGTAGGCGGCTGCACTTAAGCTTGTCGATACAGAAGAGGGAGGCTCACTTGGCATAAGGAGAATGACGCTGCCTTCCGCCACGGTATCAACTAAGAACTGGGTCTCGGTGTCATAATCCCTAATGTGGATAAGCCAACCATGGGCTTTGCCGACGTTCGGGGCTATTACATGCCGCCGTGGCGGATCATTTGTAGCGGAGTAGCTACATGGCTATGCGCACTTACGGGCTTTATTAACAAAGCACGAGTAGTAAAGGCAGTAACCTGGGGCACCAGGTTTTGTCCGACGGGGTGATGATCCAGAGCGGTTACCGTGCTTACATTTTAAGGCGAATTCCTCGACCTGTCTCCGTTAGATGCTATCTATGATGATAATACGTCTATTGCCGACGGCTGGCTGGTCGCGGGTGTCCGTGTGGTTGCGCCAGCATAAAGCTGCTTAGGTGCTTTGCTTTTAGCCTGTGGCTGGTGCCGTTCGATGACGCGGTCTTGTAGGTCTGCTATTGCTGTGAGTGGCAGTTCACTTGCTACTGCATGGATTGCCTGAGTGCTTTCCGGAAGGTGTTGCATCCACAGTTCTCGGGGAATCCCTAGGTTCATGTTGGACGTGCCGAGGAGCAGTTGCATTTCACGCAACAAGGCTGAGGGCATCATATCTCCTGGTTGTAGATCACTACATGGTTGCTGCAGTCGGACGTTGTCAGAAGGCGTAAATTGCTGAATTGTTCCCTATTTAAGTGTCCCGTATTTCACTACAAGGGTGGGCAAAAGCTGATGCCTTTTACCTGCTAGTACATACCCAGAGGAATGCAACATATTAGCTGACTATACATGACGAAATAAGAAGAAATCGTACAAATGTAAAGGTGAAAGGACGGAGACAACAGAATAGACCATAAGTGGCTCAACGGCGCTACCCGCGTAGGGAGATGGCTCATCATCTAGATAATCCATTGTAAAAAGCGGATAAAAAGGTAGTAGGTTATCAAACAATGTGGTCACAAATAGTGCATTACAAAATCAATAGAACGAGCTCACCAGAATGAATATTCAAAATGGCAGACGACAGGTTCTGGACCGAGGTCACCAATTGTTGGGTGACGCCTGGGATACTAGTCGGTAATCAACGACGTGTCAAATAATGGACAGTATAGAAGTTGGAACCGACTGAACCGAACGTATATTGTGCAGGCTAAAAAATAGGAAGCGAATCAAACCGAGCGAGAAAAGGTGTAGCAAGGTATTCACCAAAACAATTTGTGTCATCTGACGTGCCGTCATTGAAACAAGTGGACGTTTTAAAGCTTAACACCACCGTAAGCTCCAATGTTGCCAAATACTGAAAGCGGGTGTTTTCCGTTAAACTACAAAACCCGAGATCGTTGCGAAAAGCTGTGTTAGATCTATTAAAATCTCCGCCATATAAGCACAGAGAACGATCGATGTGTCCTTCGACAGGCGCGGTAAATTCATCCGAGAAATTCTCAGCTTCAGCATAGTGACAGGTAGGAGATAGGTAGATGCTAACCAACAATATTCAGCGGAAGCCATTCAGATACCTTGTCTTACATTGTATGACTAAACACTTGATGACCTATGGGGAAAAGCCAAAAAGCTTTCGTTGCAATACACCAAAAAGAAGTTGGAAAGAAATACTACACCACCTCGGTTGCGGTACGTGTATGGGCGGTCACCCCGATGGCAAAGGATTCCATCATTGTTTTGGCTTTTTAACATCCCAAGCAGACTTATCGATTCCCGGTTCAACGATACGCAAGAAACGAACTGGATGATCCTCTGGAACCGGTCCTTACTGAATCTGAACGTGAATTTCCGTGATAATGCACCAAACTCGGGCAGACCAGTTTGAAACTAAGCCTCGGTTATCGTGCGTGAATTTGGGTTCTTAAGGCGCTCTGCTAAAGGAATTGGTACTGACACCAACAGCGAAGGAGTTCGTACATCTAGTTTACTTCCGCTAATCCGTTGGGCAGTGCCTGGAATACTAGTGGGCAAGCAATGACACGTAAGACGTGTCAAAAACGAGACGGTATAGAAGTCGGAGGCGACTGAACTCAAGGTATATTGTGCAGGCTACAAAAATAGGCAACGGACCAGCCAGAGCGAGAAACCGCTGCCAGGTACTCACCAAAACGGTTTGTGTCAACGGATGTGCAGTCAGTACAACAAATGAAGGTTTTGAAGGTTAAATCAACCGTAAAATCCAATTTTGCAAAATACTGAGAGCGCGCGTTTTCCGGTACACTACAAGGGCCTCCCCCTAGAAGTCTGAAGACAAGAAGACTTCGATGGAGCCGTTAGTGAAGGAAAACGGAAGGTGAGGACGGGTGTGAATCGTTGCGTGGGCTTGAGTAAGGGCTTCGGAAGTGGGGTGTTTAGCAGAGTTCGCTAGGTCCAGGCTTGTGCTAGTTATTATTTATGATGCTCGTGTGGACCTGTGTGCATCATCGGTGGGCCGTCGGGGCGGGCTGGTCGGAGTGCAAAAAAGGCCAGAAAAAGGCCGACAGGACCTTCCTTTTGCTGTAGACCCGACGGTGCGCATGGGAGTTGTCACTCCCCACACCGCACTCCAGTCCACGATCCTCGTCCCTCGGTACACTACAGATCGCAGTTCAAAAAGTTTCCATCAAACATCAATTTTCGACCGTATATCGTAGCTACCCCATTTTGAACGATTGGAATTTCATATTATTATTTCTATACCAATTTATTAGCATGAATCAAGGGAGGCAGAATTTGAGTCAAGAATTCTTTTTGGTAATTCTCATCGGACTCAAACATTACATGATTCAGTCAAGCTTTTGGATGAGTATCTATAATAATTGTTATCGGTTTGTATAATTTCGTTTATCCTTCCACTTTTAGTAATCATGTGAGATGTAGCGGGTAAAGTGGGCACAGAATACACGGACATCGTTAGGTTGACCGTTCCACTAATTTCCATTCCTGGTCAACAACGTATTCAAGGCTAGAACATTTATCGCATCTCCTAACTGTTGTAGCCTCGCTTGCATTTAGCAGAATTTTAAACCTACTTCTGTAAATATACGCTGTAATAAATTTTATCTACAGATAATACGGAATACACAAAGTCTAAAGACAAAAACTTGCCTCTTTGCTCCCCTACTCCGGTGCAGATTGTTTTAGTTGTTTGTACATTTTATCACGCTCTCCATTTTTGAAGTTGTGATTGTGTTATCGCTAATGTTACTTTGCAATTATCGAAAGTGTAAACAGCCCTTGAAAATATGTGCTATAGCAACAATATGTCGACATATTTTCTGCGTTGAACATAATCCATCTCTTATAAGGACGGCAGATGGTCTAGTGCATTGCCCTGTGTGCCGCAACCGACTGAAAGATAACTGTGAAATAATGGAGGTCGGGCAAATTATTTAAATAATAACATCAGTTAAGGTGGATCTACAGCCATGTGAACAGTTTAAGACAATGATATTGCTGGGCCAAAGCCCAGAAACCATTTTTGATATTTGCAAATATGCAATAGAATTTTATTTTTACCAAAAAAACCAGGAAGTTAAATACTATGAATATCTCAATTTCAAGTTGAATGAGAAAGTGAAAACCATACAAGCGCAATGTAAGTCACTGTTAGCAAGTTATGAGGGGAAGAATCACAGATTGCAAACTGAGAAAGATGCGGTAAGTGCTTGGATTCAGAATCAAACTTTGGTTATTCAGTTAGCTAAGGAATGTGAAGAGTTAAGAGATAACCTAGTGGCGGCAGGTCAAAAAATTTCCCAACTTGAGTCGAACCTCCGTAAGCTTTCGATACAAAAGTTACCGGCTTTCGAGAAACTGGACGACGGACACCCAAGGCCTGTTCTCCAAGCGCTTTCGGATGAGACTGTCCGTTCAAAGTTTCCGAGGTGTTCACCTGATTCCACCTGCGCCTATGCCAGTCCAGTCAACTCTTCATCCATAGCTGGCTTCCAGCCATTTAATTTCAGGAAGCGCTTGGAAAGCTTCAATATTTTTGCCGGCATGCGCCCATCTCCAATGCGAGCTAGTGATAGAGAACGCACCATGCAAGACTTTAGCGAAAACCCCAGAAACCATTCCATGCTGTCTATTAAAAACTTGTTTCGTTAGCCTATGTGCCTTAAATGCTTCCTTTAAATATTCGTTTTTTCCAGTGTCATTTTGTGGATTTGACTGTTTTGATAATGCATCATCGGATTAAAGGTTTCCTTTGTTTTTCATATCTGTAGATGAAACCACTAAACGCTCTAATGGCGTCAAAACTTTTACCCTCGAATACGTGGTAACTTTGCTTACTGTTATCTAATAAAATAAGAAATAGTCTTTTTCGTTTGTGAGTGGCGTGTTGTATGATAAATGGCTTAATTCCCGTTAATTGAGGTACATTATCACAGCAAATTACTTAATAAATGGATCAGAAAAGTTAAAGCTGTATCGCCAGCTGGCTTGCCGATTGCTCAAAGCATCTGGTAAAAAGGCACAACAATTCATTGAGAAGTTTCTAAGTATATGAATAATGACCATTAGATTTACTTATTGCTTGAGGACTTCCGTGAATAACTGAGGCAGATATTACAAACCCAGAAGCAAAACTGACAAAAAGCCAGGGGTCATTTTGTGCCCTATTTTCTCATTTAATAAATAAATGTTTTATTCTCGGCAGTGCGAGTTACGCCTGAAAAACCTAGTCATGATAGTTTGAACATGTATGTTTGGTAATTGTACAAAGATGTCGTGAGTTCACCAATAAGGTACTGGAGTTATATATATATATATATATATATATATATATATATATGTTTGTGTGTAATTGAAAGCCAGGAATCCTAACCGCTAGACCACGCTCCATGCTGAGACTGATATTGCAATCATAAGGCTTCTTCACCGCAGTTGGGCTAAACCAACTTACACTTAGACTAGAGGTTATTACGCCGAAGAAATTTCATTCCACTTCAATTAGTTTGTTCTGCCTATCTAAATAATGTGCTAGTAACTGGCTACGTTGCTCACGTTAATCATGTTTATGTTCGTTAAATTTATTGCGTTTGTAGCATTTTTTGAATTGCTTGTGGTCATTTCGCACATATCGCGCATACGTTACCAACCAACTTACTTCATATGCCAACTAAGCGAATAGTTAAATCGGCATAATCGTATGCTTTAACACATGTATGTTAGTCGATGATATCATTTCAGGTGATCGGCTGTTGTTTGACATCCCCGGTGTGGCTGCGCTTGATGTGCATGCTGACAAGGTGCCTAAGTGTCTACTACCCACTACCACGTCCATACTGGCTCCTTGAAATAATTGGTCGTTTCTGGAGGGGACAAAGTCCACCGTCCTTGTGACCGTAATAGACTCAAATAAGGGTTCCATGCACTCAGGGTTGGGCGGACTACGGTCCAGTTACCGCCTTGTGTGTGACTGATTCCCAGATCCAGCGTGTTTGTTTTTGCTTGTAAAGGAATGTAGGACGCCTCCTAAGATGAAACTTGGCTTCCGTCCGCATACCTCCTGGTCTTATTCTTTTGGGTTTACACCGGATATGGGGTGTGTGGTTGGAACTGTGGGTGGTGCAGCTCAAGTCACCCATGGTCTTTCTGTAGGCGCAGGCGTCCTGTGGCTGGCCACAGTAACTGGCAAATCCGAAACCGGATGCCGCCAACCTTGTATGTACGTGAACATAGTAAGTGAATTTGTTAATGTGACTCTGTATTCATGGGGCTGTTCGCTGTATTCGCCATCAGATGAAGCGATCAAAGGAACACTTCAAATTGGATAACGTTATTAAAGTGGAAAACTTTCTTCGGTAAATGTAATTGCTGTATCTTTATTGTGGCGAGTCATAACCGCCACGTTGTAGTGTTGTTAAGCAGATCATTGAGGTTTTATAGGGAGAAGGTTTGCAAAGCAAAAACCTACCACGTTTTGGAACACTGCCGTCTAACCTATCGCTGGAACGGGCTTAAACCGAACCACCCAGCCGACACCACGGTGAGTTTGTACGGCTAGCCAGCAGATTTTCTCACCGTTATGTTGCACGAATTTCTTTTGAGCTCACTGCTTTGCTCACGTTGTTTCAGCTTTAGCCCATAACATACTAGGTCTTTTAATGTAAATTAAATGAGGTTTTGTTGATTATTATTTTGGAAAACGGCAGTGATAGTATGGGGGAAAAGCGTTTCATGTCTAGGATACCAAAAGGGAGAGACAATTTGTAAGCAGCCGGACCACTTTTAGATAGTTATATCTCAGGCCAGTGTTGTGGATAGTTTTCTACAGGCCGCTGCAATCCTTGTCCACTTTCACCAGAATTTGATTCAACATTATGAGGTATCTTCGTAGTAGCCAATACATAGAGTGCACTACATAAGGGCTTGCAGACCTAGTTGGTAGGACATTTGAAACAAGCCCCTAACGATTTGCGTCGCGTTATTTTGTCAAGCTTCAGACGCATAAACATGCGCTAGTCTTGTAAGGTATATTAGCTTGAGATCCTGCCTAGATGTTCAGTATTTGAATTCTTGTTCTGCGATATAGAAGAAAATGTTGGTAGCTCAGGTTGTTCAGTTGGTTGTCTGATTGTTCGCTGAGCTCGGCAGGTTGACTGCAAACGTTTCGTCACCACTCAAGGTGACATCATCAGTGCGCGTGTAGTTAGCAGAGTGGCGCGTACGAAGTCGTACGCGCCACTCTGCTAACTACACGCGCACTGATGATGTCACCTCGAGTGGTGACGAAACGTTTGCAGTCAACCTGCCGAGCTCAGCGAACAATCAGACAACCAATTCTTGTTCTATTTTGCACGCTTTAACAGTAGAGCGCGTAAAAGACGACGATAGTGAAAATAAGTTAACAAATATTAACTTCCTGAATAAAGACTACTATTGCGGGTAGTGGAAATTTATTGGGGAAACAATTCTAAATATTTAAAGCTTAGGTACCTAGGCAACACAAAACTATTATGGAAATTCAGTCCTGTTTTACTTTCCAGTCTATCGCTTACGTTTGGAAAGTAAAACCACTGCAAATTATAACTAAAGATAGATAAACGGATCTTTATTGAGTTGCAGCTCTCGAACATTTAGGATGGACGGTGAAAATATCAAGCCACCTTTAACTTTAGCATACTTTATATTTAAAGTGCATCCTAATTTACTAACAAATAGACCATAACCTTACAAATGAGCTTTTCAAAACATTCTCTATAGATCCATAGCACGAAGCGTTAGTTAGATAAAATAATTTACTAACAACTGTTAAACCATATAAGGACGCCATGATAGGTCTGTATGTGCACGGTTGCATTTTCTGAGCAAATGGGAGTTTGTTTCTTCGGGACAGAAGCGAGCTTGTAATTGAGTGACCTAATTCTTATTAATAATCCTAAGCCAAAGTAGCTTTGCTGTTGAAAGCGATTCGGTGGTACTTAAAATCTGCTTAGTGTATCGTTTCGCGTACCATAAATGCCTTTGAAAATATTTAGCAATGTGGATGAACTTCGACAAACGACATACTACAGGCTCCTATTCTTTCTCCCAAATTTTGTTGTAAATGCCGACGGAACAAGTTGCTATTTTGCCTCTTTCGTCTCTCTAAAACGATGAAAGAAGGCAATGATTTCCTGATGCCTTTCGGTTAATTACATAACTCCTACGCAGACGTTGTACTTAGACGATACAACTACATAAGTGCAGAATACTGCAAGAAATAGGGTGATGCATCTCAATTAAACTAGCCGATACATCCGTGTTCCTTGCACAATTCAACCATCACGATTTAGGTTAAACTTTACTTGGAAAAGTTTCTTGATAACATAGTGAGGGCAATTCTAATCAACAGCTGAATTATTCTCACTGATTCTCAAGGTCGATTGCCAGGTCAGATTGACCTGATATTGTTAATTTGCTTATTGCATTCAATCTCGCGAATGGGAAACTGCAAAGTTTGTGTTTTACTTAGGTTACTAGAACGAACGCCGTACTTGCGTTTAGTATGATGCAACTAAACTCCGGTGCTCATTTCCCATTGCTTGACGAACTCATTACAGCGCGTTCCAATTGTAGCCCTATTTAATATGGTAATTTATGTTGAGTGTTTCGTGGCGATCGTTATGTGCTTGGTTATGTACTCCCGAAAGATGTGCCATATAACGTTATATTGGTACAAAGCTATTTTTATTATCACTTTGAAGTTCTCTGACCCAAAATCAGCATCCAGGCGTTGTACAGATTTAGACAAGTGACTTAATACAATACTGCAAATCGTTCCTAAATTGGCAAGTAACCGTTACGGTAAATTGTGCCAGCCAATTTTTGACGTAGGAACAAGGAGTTCGGCCAGTAGTTCTTCAGTCTCGAGTTAGTTTCTCGCTGCCGCTTTTTATGCCTGCTGAGCGCAGCAAGTTGGATGCCAGTCGGAAGGTGTGGTGCTGAGAGAGTGTCCCATCCAACATTCATCTATTTCATATATGGTCCTGACAAGCGAACTAATGGAGGTGCTCTTCAGAGTGAAACATGGGGTAAGTAGAATCAATAATTTCAATTCGTTTACAAGAACGGTTTTTTAAGATGACCCTCGATTCATTCAGTATTTAAGTTTTTATTCTGCTCCGAACATTCAAGGGATAAGAGTTGGTGCTCGAGCCCATCTTTGATAGTATCGTTGAACATAGCAATACTAATAAGGATTACATAGATAGAAATTGAATACCAATATTGCGATTTCTTGATAGGATTCATGCCTTTAATAATTCGGTAGAGGTCAATGGTGCATCTTATACGCCTCCAGCTACTGACTCCTTGGCGGCCGGTGGCCGAGTTGTCTGCACGTCTGGTTTGCAACCATTAAGTCACCACTTCGGATCCGCGTATTGGTTGAGCATCCTCGTGGTATAATCAGCCCGCGCGCGGCTGGTGGTGGTCGCGTTGCGGCGAAGCGCCGTTACGGCGTACAGCTGGCGATTTATTTTTTATTTTCACATAAACCGCGGATGTAGTCATTGTCCACAGAGTGATAGCCAGCTAGTTGATAATTGCATTACTAGGATAATGTGTACACTTTTGAGCGATACAAAGTAACTTAGTTTCAAAAATATACCGATTTAGAAAATATATTGACTACTGGCTGGATTAACATAGGTTTTGAAGTTTCGAAAAACACTGAACGAATTTTTCTTGTTATAAGAACAAATTAGTTTTACCGTTAGACCAAATTACAAGTCCATGAACCTTACTTGCTGGCTGCTTCAGGAACTGGCAGATTTAGAGGGAGAAAACAGATTGAAGTACACTGGCTTTTATGGTGTGTGGTATATTGCTAAGTTGTGGCTGG